TTTATTTTGAGCTTTAATACTTCATAACTCGAAAACTAAAGCAGTTAGCCCTATAAGACCTATATGATTTTTTGTTCAGCGTAAAAAATACTACCAGAAACCACAGTCAAATCAAGGGGCCCCGGTTATCGTGTTTTCCCCCGATAAATAACTGTAGAATAGCAAAAAGCGATTTTCTCCAAATTTTTAGGGAATCACGTTCTTGTTATAACAAAACAATTTAGCAAGTATTTGCGACAAGACGCGGTTTCCCTTAATTATTATTAATTTTTTATCAATAATTTATTCTGCAGCGATCGATAACAAAGAGCAATTTTCTCCAAATTTTTAGGAAATCACGTTCTTGTAATAACAAAATAATTTAACCCTTAAATGCCACACATCTCAAGAATCTCGTAAATAACATGAGGGGTCTAAAAGACCCCAGCATGAAAAATATCTTCTTATTCATTCATTTTTTTATCTTTAGTTATAAAGATTTTTTTCAATGTTGTCAAAAAAAGCTTAGGAAAAAGAATAAAATGCTTATATTGTTAAAATTTCAATTTCAACATAGTATAAAAAATTAAGTAAACTGAGTACTGCTAAGTGTGCAAACGCGTAGGTCAATCACTCAACTATCATCAATGGGAGCATGAGCTCCATTTTTGGCAAAAATATTTGAAAATATATCATTGTAAAGGGTCTGGAGTCCGCTGAACCCCAGGGGGCATTTAAGGGTTAACAAGCATTTGTGACAAACGCGGTTTCCCTTAATTGTTATTAATTTTTTATTAACAATTTATTCTGTAGCGGTCTTTAATTTATTTGGTGAGAATCGCTTTTTGTTAAAGACCGCTTTGGCCCTGTCTGCGAGACGTTTCGCTGTTAACGCCCACTACTAGCTTCAGCTACATAGAACCCAGAGATATCTGTTTCCACGATTGTGTTTGAAATTAAAAAACTTTTTGAAATATGACGAAGTGGTATGCGGTACCGAATTGCAAAACCGGTAGCAGAACCGAGCAGAAACGTTCTCTATTTCGAGTGCCGAAAAATATCGTTATGTGAAAGAAGTGGAAAAAAGCTATTCCGGGTATTGTGAAGTTGTGCCAGACGGATGTTATATGTGAAAAACATTTTAACGAGGAAGAATTGCTCGCGAATGGGTCAAGCTCGACGCAAATGGCCAAGTAATTGCACGGGTGAGTTTAATGAAAAAAATTTCACAGTTTGAAAAGATTCTTATTCAAATAATGTATTTCTTGATTGAAGGTCGCATACAAGCATGTACAGCTCACGCAGCTCGCTGTGCCCACAAGATTCGGTGACGTTCCGACGGAAAAGGAAAATTGTGAGCCACTGCATGAAAATGCGAAGCAAGTTTCGGATTCTCGAATAACTTTTTTAAGCATCCAGTCCTTTAGTCTCCAGTTCACTAGTCTCCAGGGCCCCTATTCTGTAATTTCTTGCGTTATGATTCCGCTAACGAAACATGCGTTACTCTATAACGCTACTCTCTAAAATCGTATTCTTTATGCTTCGTTAACGCTTTGCGTTATGAGTCCCGTGTTGTTCGGATATCCTCGGAAATATAACGCAAAGGAAGAAGGAACTAGATGACGTTACAGCTGTAAGCCAATCAGAGTAAGAAAATATTCTAACCGCCTATTTTAGAGAACTCGCGTGAACTTTTCCATGTGCTATAAGCGGAAGATATATAAAGTGAGTATTTATATATTACTTATTGTATATATTTTTTAATTATTGTAGTCTTGAGAGAGAGATATATACAAAGTAATAATTGTAATAATAGAAATCGTCTTAATGATGTTTTGTTGACGTTAAAGACATCATTAAGACGTTATTAATACGTCATTTCACGTCACTCTGCTATTTGGGAAATGATTAATTTGTCATATGACGTATATGTCGTATATGTATGAGGTTAGTTTGGTTAGGTTATGTGTGTATGTATGTGTGTATATTGTTAATTAAAAGTCAGATTAATAAATTAAAAGATATTTTAATTAGTAGTTATTAAATATATTTGAAAATTAAAAAAAACAAATTAATTACAATTTATTTTGATATTATTGTAATTTTAATATTATTACAGATATATATATAGCAAAGTATACTTATTGCAAATACATTATAATCCATATTCTTTATTCAATTTATGAAATATATTATTATACTTACAATGTATTAATCTGTCATGTTAATCTGTCTTATAATTGAATTGTATATAAATATAACTTAATTAATCTAAAAATTCTACTTTTAATATAATTTTTAATAGAATGCAAATGTTCTTTGAATAGTATGGAAGTTAAACCAAAAAAGACAAGAGCTCCTAAAACAAGCAGTATCCAATTAGAATATCTTATTGGATACATGCAAAGTCACAATGCATTTGCTACTGGAAAATTATTAGGAGCAAGGGGAAAGGCAGCCCATGATACACAATGGCGAGAATTGGCTGAGGAGCTGAATCGCTTTTTGAAGGGCCATCAAAAAGTGTAGAAGCTTGGAAAAAAGTAAAATATGAATTCATCTTACATATTTCTCATTTTTAAGTTATTTTCTCACATATTTTTCTCAACACAAAAAAATTTTTTTTTTCATAAATTTTGCATGATGTATTGTAGCTTTGGTGTGATCAAAGGAATCAAGCCAGAGGCCGGGCAGCAAAGGCCAAAGCAGATCAAAAACTTACTGGCAACATTGGTAATGCAATCCAACTAAAAGATTTGGATTTACGCATTTTGTCTGTTATTGGTGGCGAATCGTCTGTAGGTCTGCCTGTAATGGAGATGGGCTTTGGAGAACGACTTGAGGTTTGTTATTTTTTCATTAAAAGTTATATATAAAATATATATAACATGATGTGTCTATAGTGATTTTAATTAATTGTGCTGTGCTTACTTTAAGGATATCGCTGATCCGTCTTTGACATTGGGATTGATATCATCTACAGACTTAAATGAATTTATTATTATTCAAGAAGAACCAAATGTAAATATTACATATAAAATAACGCTGTTATATATGATTGTATATTTTTATATTAAATTGAATATTTCATATAAGCAACAGAAACAACTGAGGAGAGTACAAGTGCAGTTATCCAAGATGTAGAAGAGACAATTCTAACTCCTAAACCGCAAGAAAATCTACATCGTAATGAAAAACCATCTAAACCTCATACTATTGTATCAGTTCCTGTATTGCCTACTAATGAACCTCTTAACCAGCACGATAAACCTAATGCAACTGTTCCCGTATTGTCCCTTGATGAATTTCTTAACCAGCACAATATACCTAACAAAACAGAACAATTATTGATAACATCTAATATACGTAATTTAACCAGTCACAATAGTAAGCATGAAATATTAATAGTATACATATTCAATATTACCTAATGTCACTTTATTATGTAATACATATGTTATGGTTTAATCAAGATTTTTTTTGTAGGGAAACGTTTCAAAAGCTCTTCCGTGGAAGAAAGCGTGAACTCTTTTAAAGATCAGCAAGACAGACATATTGAAAGTTTACAGGTATGTAATTTATCTTTTTGTATGCTTTACTTTTCTTTCAAATACATATATCGTATTTATAAAAAAATTATTAAACACAAAATTATTATAATTTTAATAGATAATTATTAATTAGAAGTGATATACAATAATTATTTAAACTTAGTAATTTTTATAATTTTAAAACATCTATTATACTACAATCTTAATACATTTGTTTCATCTTATTTTCAGCCATTGCAGATAATGGCTGAAAATTTAAGCCGCATTGCTTCTGCAACAGAAGAACAAACTGATCTGCTTCAAAAATCTTTAACACTACATAAACAAACGCTAGATATCTTATCTAAAACTATTGAAAGTCTGAAAGAAAAAAAATAAAATAAATAAATATAATAAGTATTGCAATAATTATTATTATTATAAGTTTAACGTATGAAACAATATTTTGTTATAAAGAACAATATTTTATTTTATGTTATGTTTCTAATACATTTTTTTCTTTCATAAAACAGTATTTGTTCTAAAGTAGCACATAACAATAAGTATAATGTATGAAATAAGAACGATATTGTGTTACGTTTGCAATACATTTTTTATTTGAATTTTATAAAAGATTGTATTTATTTTCTAAAGTATGCACATAATATATTTTTTATATAATTGAAAAGTTGTTATTCTTCTTCTTGCAAGCCAAATTGAGTGCGAAGAATTCTTCTCTGTACTCTTCTAGCTTCTCTCAATCTATTATCAGGATTTAAGTGCGCTTCATCTGCTCCTATTATTTCTTGTGCTTGCATTCTAACACGATCACGTGCTTCAAGATTACGTCGTTGCATATTTCTTTGAAAAGCTTCAGCTTCATCCTCTTCATCAATATCAAAGTCTACGTCAATAACATTATAGCGAAATCGTATATTATGTAATATAGCACATGCTGCTATTATGTTTGATGCCATGATGGGTTTATAATGCAGTACGCGATGATGTAGAAGACATATCCATACTGCGTTCTTTAAGACGCCAAACATTCTCTCCACACAATTTCTAGTAGAGACATGACGGTGTGTGTATCGTGCTTCCGCGCTTTCTTCTGGTGCATCCGTTATAGGCGTCATAAGCCAAGGTTCTAGGCCATAACCTGAATCGCCTGTCGTCACATATAAATAAATATTTTTAAACATTGCTCAATATACATATACCAAACACAATGCTAATCACAATACTGACCCAAAAGCCACGTTGTTCGATCTCCAGATTCATACAAATGTATCATTTCATTTCTCACGGCAGAATGTCTCCATATAAAACTATCATGCACAGTTCCCGGAAATCTGGCATTTATACTTAAGATTTCTAAATCATGCGAGGATATCTGTAATAATATTAATAAACATTAATTATGTTTAAGCGTATGTAGTGCAACATGCATTAAAAAATATTACTATGTTTTGTTGTAGTTTACTGTACTTAATTATGTAACTTACTGCTTGCACATTAATGGAATGAAAGCCCTTGTGATTTGCATATGCTTCCTCGTGATTTTTCGGTCTTACTATAGCAATGTGGGTACAATCGATACAACCTATAACTCCTTTAAAATTTCTTTCTTCTTGGAATCTGTAAGAATAATATATAGTAGAGAATAGAATATTTAAAAAAGTGTTCATAGAAAACTAATTACATTAAATGGATGAACTTATTACTTAAAAAAGAGACTTCTTAAGAATTGTTCTAAGCAATCGGAACAATCATGTATAATTTAGTTTGATATTATTATGTAATGTGCATATAATGTTTTGAAAATAAATGTTTCTCTGATTTGTATTTCTAGTGCTTCATTATAATTACGGAGTTACCTTCTTTTTAAAGCTGTTCGTTTTTCCTCCGTTCTTGGAAACTTAATCCATTCGTGAGCAAATAATTGAGTAATACTAACTGCAACTGCTTTTATTGCCCGACTGACAGCAGATTGTGACACTGATACTAAATAATCATTTCCAACAGCTTTTTGATATGAACCGGTAGCAAAAAACCGTAATGCGGTAAAAATCTGTGAACATTAAAGTTTTTGTATTAATTGTTTTAATATATTTCAATAAAAGTTCTATGATTCTATGTTATTTTATATTTGCAATGCAAATGGATATAATTACTTGAGTTTCCACACTTAATCCTTTTCTTCTACGCTGCAAGGAACATTGAAGAACATCACATAAATAGCGCACTGCATCTTTCGATAAGCGAAAGACTTTTACAAATTGCCGATCTGTTAAATCAAAAGGGTCGATAGTATTTCTCAAAGTTTTCATTGTCTCAGAATTTTCTCTCATTTTTCTCAAAGTTTTCATTGTCTCAGAATTTTTTCTCCTTCTTCTTCAACTTCCAATAGATCCATTAAAATCATAGCAGCATCCATTTTTATATCTTAAATACAAATAATCTTATAGCGTTCTCAATTTGTTGACTCCACTCGACTCGGGTCAGATTGAAAATTAGGAAAAATGATAATAAAATATGATAATATGCCACAATAATCTATGCTAAGAATCTTTGATAGAGGTTAAGAAATGCTTTTTGCTATGATAGTTTAGTCATCGAGTTTCAAACCAAACTGATCCGAGTCAGGTCGAGTCAACAAATCGAAAACGCTATTTATAACACTAATATAAGTTTTATTACAACAAATGTGCACAATTCTATGATGCGTTACAAAGCTTAACGCTGTCCAACAGCTCGCGTTACACTATTTTTACGCAACGCAAGAAAATGCGTTATGAATTGCGTTAAAGTGGCTTACAGAATAGGATTTTCTGGTAACATTCAGTGTAACGCCGTAACGCAAGCGTTTACGCTTGTTTAACGCCATCGTTAACACATCATACGTTAAGATCCATTTGCGGAATACGAAGTCGTAAAGCATGCGTTGTGAACCCTCTAACGCATGCGTTATGGCCATAACGCATGCGTTAAGAAGTTACAGAGTAGGGGGGCAGTCCTCTAGTCTCACGAAACCAATTCAAGAAATCAGTACTTCCGTCGGTGAGTTTCCTTATACAAAAAGTATTTATTACTATTGATATAAAAAAGATAGTACTAAGTAATTGAAACATATATAAATTTCTTTCGTTGATTTTACAGATATCGTTGATGTTCCTTCACCTGCTGTAAGCGTTGACACAGACATTGAGTTGTCGCTCTCTCCAATGATGATATCGAGTTGTAAATCTCCAATAGCAAATTTGTTTGCTCCTCAGAAGCCTGCCAAAGTGTTCTCATCTGTGAAAATCAGCGAACGTGAGTAATGAATGCAATGTCTTGCCCAAATGTTTAGAAGAAAAAAAAGCTTATACCGTTTAAATCACAATACCTGGAAAAATACATAGAATGCTACATATAACATATATATATTTACCACGGTAGAAGCCGCAAAACCTGAAAAAAATATATAGTAAATTGAATCATTGATATTCAGTCAAATAAATGAAATAAATAAAACTGCTTTATTTAGAGCCTGTTCACACGAGGCGTTTCTGCCGCGCGATTGCTGCCGCGCGGCCGCGCGTTGTCGCGAGGCGAGGTGCAACAACGCGCGTATACGCGCGTACGTGGAAAAGCGAGTAGAGGAAAGACGAGTATCCTATAAATCTAAAACGCCGCAAACGCGTATCGTAGATGCTCGTCGTCGCGCGTACGCCTTTCCGCATATGCGAGTATACGATTGCAGCAATCGCGCGGCAACCGCGCGGTAAAAACACTTCGCATGAATAGGCTCTTCACTTACCGTTAAAAATTACGTGAATATTCTTAGTCTGACCTGAGTCCCTTAGTCTGAAACAAGAATAAATTATATTAAATTTATTTTTACACTGAGGGAAAAATATTGTAGAATCAACAAGACAATTTTGTTGATTTTTCAATTTATTGATCCAATTATTTATTTTATTGAATTAAGTACACGTCTATTATTTGAACAAAATTAAATAATTGAATTCTGAAAATGGTATACAAAATCATTTTTTTTAACTTAATGATCAATTTTTTTAAGTTAATGATCAATTTTGTTAACTCAATAAAATAATTTTGTTGAACCAAGAACATTAACGTTTTTAAAAATAGTAAATTTATTCAAAGAAATATTTATTGTAGTTAATGTTATATTATGTATAATTGATAGTATAAAATATTTAGTTAAAAAGAACAAATCAATATAGTCAACAAACAAAATAGTCAAAAAGAACAAAATATTTTGTACAAATATTTTGTTAAGCCAATTAAATCATCTGCTTGGCAACATACAATCTTCCGGTTTTATTAAATAAACAAAATTTTTTTTGAAAAAAATAATTATTTTTCTTTGTGTACTGTAATGAAAATCGAGAAAAAATATACTTTATATGCTATAAAACGAATCAATATGAAATGTAAGTGGTGCAATATAATGATTATAAGAGCTTGCGAATTTTTATTAGTACGGAAACTGACCACTGCTCATAAAAATTGCTTCACTTTATTTTACCAGTAATACCGGAAGAAAATGCGAGCACCAGTGATGACTTCTCTGCCGATGTTCCGGAGGGATGGAGTTAGGTCAACATGCGTACTGAAATTGTACAATGTACGCTGTTTACATACGCGATCATGAAGGTAAAAAACGGCGAGCATTGTCCAGTAGCACAAAAAAGTGTTACACTTGACATCGACAAAATATTAAAATATTTTGTTTATGGTCGTCACGTTTATCCACAAGATAAGAATCTTGAACGTGTTCTAAAGAAAAAAGAAATGCTTAAGGACATACTAGAAAAATTCAAAGGAATGAACGTCTGCAGTGGCCTAGGTGACATTAGTATCTATTTTATAGTAGTCAATGGGGCATATCAAGATAACATCGACAAGTGGAGAAGTAAAGGCTGTTCTCTACTCTCGAAGAAGAAAAGATGCGATTCCTGCATGAAGTGGAGGAAATGCATATTGCAACAGGAGGCACGGCTAAAGATTCGTCCGACGATGAATCGGATTTGTAACATTTTAAATCCCATTGATCGACGTAAATTATTAGCGATGCGGATGAAAATTAGACGCGAAAGGCGTCAGAAACTTCGAGCTAAGGATCACGTAAAAGATCTCATTACGTGTATGAAAGCACAAGAAGCACAAATGGCAAGCATGCAAGATACGGCTGTGGATAAAAAATTAGCTGAGTTAGACAGCATCTCAAAGTCTCAAAAACTAGTAGTTCAGGAAATCATCGCCGCGGCAAGGAAAAAGGACGCCAAAGGTCGACGTTATTCCGATGACTGGATTATGTTGTGCATGTTTTTGAACATCCGATCGCCAAGAAATTACGAATTTTTGCGCAAAAACAATATTCTGCCACTTCCGTGCACAAGGACAATACGCAGTTATTTTTCCTTAATTAACGCGAAGTGTGGCTTCGATGAAGAATTTGCGAAACTCCTCGAGAAACATTTTGCATCGAAAACTCAACTGCAGCGTCACGGGGTTTTACTGCTCGATGAAATAAACTTCAGGAAGTCTGTGGCAGTTTGTTCCAGAAATTTAACTTACCTGGGCTTAACCGACTTTGGTGATGATGGGCAACAATCCACAGACATAAACGAGCAGGCAACACACGGTCTTGTCCTCATGTTCCAGCCACTTGCTGATGTATATACACAGCCAATTGCAGTGTTTGCTTCTAAAAATCCCGTAAAAGGAGAAGAACTCGCGAAAATTGTCGTTAAAGCTATTCCCTATTTGGAACAATGCGGAGCGATAATCCACGGAGTTATTGCCGACGGTGCTGCAACAAACGCGAAAATGTGGTCGCTTTTGGGTGTCAGAGGGACGATAGAAAATACCAAAACGTGGTTCACTCACCCTTTGGACGACAATCGGAAAGTATTCGTCTTTTCCGATATCTGCTACGTCATCAAGAACATCCGAAACCGGTTGTACAACAAGAGAAAATTGCGGGTAAGTTGTAAGATGATAATCTGTAGTTTTATGCTTACTAGCGACAATAATGAGAAAGATATTAAAGGGCATCTGCATATATACTATTCCTACAAAATAAAATAACAAGTTGAGAAAATAATTACAATAAAAAAATATATAATTACAATAAAAAAATTGAAAGGTAACGTGTCAAAAAAACAAAAGTTTCATTGATATATACTTTTCTTAAAATTTTAAAGAACCTGGGCTGCAATCACGTAACTTTTCCTGTAGGATAAAAACGTAAAAAGTGAAAGGTTTCATGTAACTATCTTTTTCTATTAGTGTCGAATAGAAAAAAATAATCACATGAAATTTTTCACTTTTTACGTTTCCACTCTAAGGATAAAGTTACATAATAGCTACCCTGACAATTAAAAAAATTATATAGAAATACATACATACCTTAGTTGGAATCCTGGAGACACCTGAAAAAAAATGTAATTAAAAATGAATACATATCTTTCTTTAAATCCCGGAGATCCTAAAAAATATGTGTTGCATGAAAATAAATATATACCTACCTTCTTAGGAAACCCATAATACCTGAAAAAAAAAGATAAAAACTTAAAAAAATATTCGACATACATATCTACCACTATATTCTGGAAAAGCGGAAAGAAAATATCAAAGGCTTTATTATTGTTGATATTTTCGTTCCACTAAGAATAGAATTTTCACTTATCCGTGCTTATCTTACTTCACTTATGTTATTAAAAAATAAGAAAAAAATATTAACGCCACGAAAGCCGGATTTTGGGGCTCTGTAATTTTATTTATGAACCTGAAAGACTTAAAAGAATTGAAAGGTGATGCCCACCGTTATTCATAATGTAAGTTACATACAATACGTAGGTCAATAAATAGTTGGCATTATTCTCTAGGTAAAATCTACAGATGACTACGTTTGTTGGAAGTATTTCCAAACGTTGTTTAATCTGGATAAGAATCATCCAGGAGATGCACGAGTATGTCCAAAAATAACGAATAGACATATTGTGCTGGACAACACATCGAAAATGCGAGTCAGACTGGCTACTCAGGTACATTTGTGTGTAACAAAAAATATGGTACTTATTCGGGCCGTTTTAAATTTTATGAATTAGTCAAAAACTTTTTATTGTGTTACAGATATTCAGCAACTCCATAGCTGATGGGCTCGCGTTTTATTTGTTACGCGGGTGCGAAGAACTCAGCGGGTGTGAAGAAACAATTTCCTTTTGTAAATGCATGAACGGCATGTTTGACGCAATGAATCGCAAATCGCCAAATCAAGGGCTCACGCCGCATTGTAATGACTTTAAGGTACAAAAATAACTTAGGTCGCATAATTAAGAATAAAATAGCGATAATACTACATACAATTTTTTAATTATTACGTAATTCTTAGGTTCTAGAAGATACATTGCGGTGGTTGAATGAATGGGAATTGGCAGTGTCGGAAAAAGATATCACAACAGAAGAATTTTTTACTGTCGAAACTTCACGAGGATTAAGAATATCTCTTCGATCGACAATGGACCTTTGCGCTTATCTGATTGACAAATTCGATTTTAAGTACCTGCTGACTGGAAAAGTTAATCAGGATAACTTAGAGGTAATGTATATTTTTCTTATTTAATGATATGTTTATTGTATTACCAATAAATTTTACATATACTTACCTGTTCTACAATAAACAACTACTTGCCTCTTTTAGAAATTCTTTGGTACTATACGCCAATGCGCGGGATGCAACGATCATCCAAATTGCCCAACATTTTTACAATTGTATAAATTGCTATCGGTGTATAGCGTGATTAAGCCTCCAAAATATGGTAATTGCACGGTTTCGTCTGATACGAGACCGGCAACGTTGATCTCTATTAGTGAAATCAAAGCTGTAACGGCCTGTCTTTATCGAACGCGGACTGGTTTACCGGATCGGGAGTTCGATGAAAGGCCCAGAGACAGTAATCAATTTGCCATGTGACAGTAACATACAATTTATTCAAAACTCTAATATGAACTATAATATACAATGCTCGGGATTCGGTATTACATATAAACTGGACGCGGTAGATTACAGTGGCCGGTAGTGCCGGTGCAATGCGACGCGGTATACGAAATATCGGGACTCGAGTCTTCGCCTCGAGATGCGGTACGCAGAGGCGGGAATAACG